AAGCGTCTGCCTTCAGCTCAGGTCATGATCCCGGGGTCCTGGGATCGAGCCCCGCATCGGGCTCCCTGCTCCGTGGGAAGCCTGCTTCTCCCTCTCCCACTCCCCCTGCTTGTGTTCCCTCTCTCGCTGTGTCTCTCTCTGTCAAATAAATAAAATCTTAAAAAAAAAAAAAAGTCAAAATGCCAAACCTGAAACAAGTGATTTTTAAAATCCTTTTCCTAATTCTTTTTTACTTTAATATAATATAATATATATATATAAGTGATCTCTACACCAGACGAGGGGCTTGAACTCACAACCCCAAGCTCGAGTCAGATGCTCTACCAACTGACGCAGTCAGGCGCCCCACTTTTATTTATTTTTTATTTTTCTTTAAGATTTTATTTATTTGAGAGAGAGCACAAGCAGGGGGAGGGGCAGGCAGAGGGAGAGGGAAAAGCAGGCTCCCCGCTGAGCAGGGAGCTCAAAGTGGCACCCAATCCCAGGACCCCGGCATCATGACCTGAGCCAAAGGCAGACGCTTCACTGACTGAGCCACCCAGGGGCCCCGCCCCACTTTTAAAAAAGTATTTTTGCCAGGTATAGAATTTTGGGTAAACAAGTTTGGGTTTTTTTGTTTTTGTTTTTTAAGCACTTTAAAGATGGCACTTTTTCTTCTGATTTGCATGATTTCTGATGAGAAGTTGGCCATAATTCCTACCTCTGTTCTACTGCACATGATGCGTCTTTTTTCCTCTGGCTGCTTTTATAATTTTCTTTTTGTCTTTGGTTTCCAGAAGCTTAAATATGCTATGCCTAGTGTGTGTTTGTTTTTAAATCTTGCTTGTATTTTCTGAACTTCTTGGATCTCTGGTTTGGTTTCTGTCATTAATTTTGGAAAATTCACAGCCATTATTTTTTCAAATACTTCTGCCCCATTCTCTCTCTCCTGGGAATCCTATTACATGCATGTTAGATTGATGTTGTCCCACAGCTCTTTGATGTTCTCTTCTGGTTTTCTCCCCACTCTTGTTTTCTCTTCATGTTTGTTTGGGTAATTTCCACTGACTTACCTTCAAATTTATTTATTTATTTATTTGAGAGCGAGAGAGAGAATGAGCAGGCAGAGGAGGGGAGAGAAGCAGGCTCTCTGCTGGGCAGGGAGCCCTATGCTGTGCTCGATCCCAGGACCCCGAGATCATGACCTGAGCCAAAGGCAGATGCTTAACTGACTGAGCCACCCAGGCACCCCCATTTGATTTTTATAGTTTTCTCCTCTCTGATGAAAGTACTCATCTGATCTTGCACATTGTTCACCTTTTCCACCTTTTCCAGTATCCAGTGGCATCTGCCCAGGCAAACAAGTGCTCACTCTTATCTCACCTTATCTCACTAGGGCACCTGTCTTTCCTTAGAGTTCAGGTCAGTTGGGTGCCCTGTGACTTCAGCTCTCTGATGAGTTCAAGGAAAGTTGTGATTTTCAGATTATCCAGATTTTTTGCTGTCGTTACAAGGGTGTTCTTTCCAACGTTCTGCATCCTAAGTAGACTACAATGCTTCTTTAGAAAAAGTATAAAAATGTGTTTAATGCGTGGTTTCTTTCAAATCCCTGAAAAGTACATATATAACCAGACCAAGGCACCAGTATTTACTTGGTGGAATTCAAGAGGAAATTCTCAGTCTCCATAAGACTAGTTCATAAGCAGTGCTAAGTAGAGTAAATAATTGATCAAACTTAATACAGTACCCCCATTATCAATTGAATTGTGTCCTCCCAAAATTCATATGTTGAAACCCTAGCCCCAGTGGGACTGTATTTGGAGATGGGGCCTTTAAAGAGGTAATTAAGTTTAAATGAAGTGAAGGGATGGAGCCCTTAATTCAATCTGACTGGTGTTCTTATAAGAGGAAGAGACACAAAGGATGTGTGAGCACAAAGGTAAGGATTCTGGTCACCAATTGCAGCGTATGGGTTTTCCCCCACACCACCGAGCAACTTTTAGACACCAGCTGGGGTCCTACAGTTCAACTCAATTCTGACACTCTCTGGAGCTAGCATTGGATCCCACAGGTGAAGGGCTCCATCCCACAAAACCGCCCCCACCCCAACTTCAGATGCCGCTCCCAAGCCCAGCTGTCACCTGTGTTTCTGCCCAACTGGCTCTAGGTTGGAGGTTCCAACAACCCCCTCCTTGGGTTCAATTCATTTTCTAGAGCTGCGCACAGACCCTGGATATTTTACTTACTAGATTGCTGGTTCATTACGGAGGATACTAAGGTATGCAAAACAGCAGCCAGATGAAGAGATACATAAGCTGAGATCCCAAACAAAAGAGCTTCTATCCTTGTGGCGTTTGGGGCCCCAAACAGTGGCACGTGATGTATTTTGATTGACCGACCCGGAAGCTCTCCAAACCTTGTCCATTTGGGTTTTTCTGGAGGCTTCGTTACATAGGCAAGATGGATTGAATTGGGGGCCGTTAACAGTTGATTGACCCTCCAGCCCCTCCACCCTTGCAGAGGTTGGGGCTGAAGGGGAACTGAAAGTCCCAAGCCTCCAGTCATATGCTTGGGTGCCCTGGCAACCGGCCCCCATCCTTAGGTGGAGTTCCAAAGTCACCTCAGGAACCTAAAAAAGGACACCTTTATGGCTCTCGTGACTTAGAAAACTCCAGTAGTTCTAGGAGCTCTGTGCCAGAAATGGGGATGAAGATCAAATACATATTTCTTATTTATAAACCACAGTTCACAAGAGGAAAGGCCAAGTGTGGACACAGTGAGTATGGCCTTTGCAAGTCAAGGAGCGAGGCCTCAGGGGAAACCAACCCTGACGACACCTTGATCTTGGACTTCCAGCATCCAGAACCGTGAGGAAATAAATTTCTGCTGCTTAAGCCCCGCCCCCTCCCTCCCCCCTCCCCCATGCCTCCTGCCCCATCCCCCCGCCGCCCCCTCCCCCTCCCGCCCCCTCCCTTCCCCTGCACCCTCCCCCCTGCCCCTTCCCACCCCATCCCCCCTACCCCACGTCTTCAGCCCCCTCCCCCCTGCCGCACGTTTTCCCCCCACCCCTGCCCCCTCTTCCCTCTCACCCACCGCCCCCCTTCCCTCACCCACCGCTCCCCTTCCCTCTCACCCACCGCCCCCCTTCTCTCTCACCCCCCCCACAGTCCCTCTCCCCCCCCACAGCCCCTCTCCCCCTCTGGCCCCCGCTCCCCTTTCGCCCCTCCCTCCCCCTGCTGCCGCCGCCCCCCTCAACCCCCCCCTTCCCCTGCCCCCCCCCCGCCAGCCCCCCGCGCCCCCTCCGGAACCATGCCCCCTAACCCCACGCCTGCCGCCCCCTTCCCCCCTCTGCCCCCCACGCCACCCCACCCCCGCTCCCCTTCCTCCCGCTCCCCTCTCGCCCCCCTCCTCCCCATACCGCCCCTGCCTCCCTCGCCCCCTCCGTTCCCCTGCCTCCTCCCGTCCTTGCCCTCTCCCGCCACGTGCCCCCTACCCCCGCGCCTGGTGCCCCCCCCCGCCCCCTCCCTCCACACTCGCCCCCTCCGTTCCCCTCCCCCCTCCCCCTTGCCCCCTCCAGACACAAGCTCCTTACCCCCACGCCTGCCGCCCCCTTCCCCTCTGCCCCTGCCACCCTCTGCCCTCCGCCCCTCTCCCCCCACGCCACCCCACCCCTGTCGTCCCCCCGTTCCCCCTCCCCCGCCGCCCCTCTCCGCCCCCCGCTCCCCTCTCACCCCCTCCCTCTCCCTGCCCCTTCGTCCCCCTGCCTTCTCCTGACCCATGCCCCCTCCCCCCCCCCCCCGCGCCTGTCGCCCCCTTCCCCGCGCCCCCTGCCCTCCCCACCCTGTTGCCCCTGCCACCCCCTCTCCCCACCCCTCTCGTCCCCCTGCTCCCCCTCCCCCACTACCCCCCTCCCTTTGCTTCCCTCTCACCCCCTCCCTCTCCCTTCCCCCCTCACCACGTGCTCCCTATCCCCCGCACCTGCCGCCCCCCTAGTCTCCCTGCTCCCCCCGCCAACTCTTTATCCTTCCGCTCCCCTCTCTCCCCTCCCGCTCCCACCCCCGTCGCCCCCCTGCCCCCTCTCGCCCCGTGGCCCTTCCACCCCGCCCCCCACCCCCTCTGCCCCCCCTCGCCTCCTCCCTCACCCTGTCCCCCTCCCACTCCACCCACCCCGTGCCCCCTACCCCCGCCACCCCTCTGTCCCCCTGCTCCCCCCTGCTCCTCTCTTCACCCCCTCCACCGCCGCCCCTCTCTCCCTCCCTGCTTCCCCCCCCCAGCCCGTGTGTGGTATATTCTTATCACAGCCCAAGTGAACTAATACACCCCCAATGGCAGTTTTGGTAGATTATTTTTTTTTAGCGAGAAACAGCACACAAGGCGGGTGGTTTGGGGGACAGGAGAGGGAGAGAGAAAATCCCAAGCAGGCTCCAAGCTTAGAGTAGAGCCCCACGTCGGGGCTTGAGCCCACCACCCTGAGATCATGACCTGAGCTAAAATCAAGAGTCAAGCACTTAACCACTTAACCAACTGAGCCACCCAGGCGCTCTCTGCTTCCCCCCCCACTTTTTTTTTTTTACCGGCGGCATATATTTACTAGACAATTGCAAGTTCTTTTCTAGTAAGATAAAGTCCATTACTTTATTCAGGTTACTTGTACATTTCAGAAATTTGGCGGGGAGGGGAAGGAACCACAGTGAAAACCACAGATAATACGGGATAAATGTACTAGAAACTATTGTTTTGGGGGGAGGGGCGGGGTTAAAGGGAAAAAAAGTTAATAATCAACAACCCTCTCACAAGTAAAAGGGGGAGAGAAAAAAACTTCAGTTTTTAATCTGGCGTTGATGCGTATCTTCTCATTTCGTAAGTCCAGTTTATTTCATACTACTAGCCATCCTCCGCCAGGAAAATACCTACAAGTAAAATCAAACATCAGGAGGTTCAAAGTTCTAACGAAAGGACGCTCAGAAAGATGGCTTCTTGAGGGGGGGCCGTGGGCCCGAAGCCAGGCCAGCTCAGGCCGGTTAGTAGAAGCAGACTGTGTGCAGGAAGGTTTTGCCGCTCTTCTCCTCGAACTCCTGCAGCAGCTCCTCGATGTCGTTATCTATGTCGTCAGTGTGCTGAATGCACTGGCACAGCTCACAGATGAGGAACGCCCCCAGGGTGGCTTCTTCAAGGTTGTCTTGGATATCCACGTTGATCACATGCACCGGCTGGCAGGTTTCTTGCTCTCTCGAAGTCAGATCTTCCACCACCTGATCGTACACTCTCTCTTCGCAGGTAAGGATCAGATCGAAAATATCTTTACAGTTCTGGAACCTTTCCGGGCGTGGCTTGATCCTCTTATTTCTATCCAGCATATGTAAAATGCCATTCTGCGTGTAGAGATCTTTATCCTTCCGAACGAGATCGTTGTACATCTGGTCGTAGGTCGTTTTAAAATCATAAACATTTGGCTTGTCGGGTGCTGGCCCCGGGAGCTTCACGTGGGTTCCCGTTCCAAAGGATCGAACAATGAATCCCCTTTTATTGAGGATGTTGTGCGCTTCCATGCTCCGGTTCTGGTTGCTCGAGCACACCACCGCCACTCGCAGGGGCACAGTCGATATAGCGGCAGCCATACCAACTGCGACACGACCGATCCCCAACTCGCACCTAATGGCAGTGCTTCTTTGCAAGCAAAATGGCGATTGTGGCGTCCGGAAGTTGTGAGGCCAAGGAGGTGGCATCCCCGACGTAGCGCATTAAGATGCGTGCGGCGCGGGCGTGTGTACGGTGCGCACGTGTGTACGGTGCGCCGGTGGACTTCCGCTCCCACAGGCGTAGTAGTTTCTAAAAAATAGTTCCCAATGAATCGTTTCTCCCGGTGTTTACACCACTTTGCAAAATGTCTTTGCAGTGCTCCTTCCATCAGGAAGTAGAATTATTTCTCTACTCTTTCAGTCTGAGCTGGCCATGGCATTTTTTTTTTTTTTTAAAGATTTTATTTATTTATTTGACAGAGAGAGAGACAGCGAGAGAGGGAACACAGGCAGGGGGGAGTGGGAGAGGGTGAAGCAGGCTTCCCGAGGAGCAGGGAGCCCGATGCGAGACTCGATCCCAGGATCCTGGGATCATGACCTGAGCCGAAGGCAGACGCTTAATGACTCACCCACCCAGGCGCCCCCAAAAAGAAGTCACATGGGTGTGGGGGAGGGGTCTGAGTCTAGGGCTCAAGAGGCTTTGCGGCTCCCATTTTTGCTTGAGGAAATTTCCAGCTACCGTGTATAGGAGCCCCGGCTGTCTTGGCGAGAGAAAGAGACCACTTGGAGGAGAACCAAGTTCCCCAGATACATTAGTGAATCTTGCCAGCACCATAAGAAGACAGAGGTCTAAACATCCTACTTATCCCCCAGCTATTTGAACCACCCCAGTTGAGTCATCAATTGTGTGGGTATTTGGGTTCTCTAACCTCAGCCAACATGTGGAGCAGAGATGATTAATACACCCACCCCACTTCCCCTTGCCCCAAATTCCTAACCCATAGAGTTGTGAGAAATAAAACAATAGTTGTTTTATGCTCCCGACTCCAGGGATGGTTTGTTAGGCAGCTGTTAGCTAACTGATACAGCAGAGACTTAAGTTGCTCCACGGCATCCCTTCTCCTCTTTGTGCTCTTTTTTTTTTTTTAAGATTTTATTTATTTATTCGACAGAGAAAAACAGCGAGAGGGAACACAAGCAGGGGGAGTGGGAGAGGGAGAAGCAGGCTCCCCACTGAGCAGGGAGCCCGATGCGGGACTCGATCCCAGGACCCTGAGATCATGACCTGAGCCGAAGGCAGACACTTAACCGACTGAGCCACCCAGGCATCTCTCCTCTTTGTCCTCTTTGAATGGTTCATTTCTCAGCTAGATACATGGCCACCTAAATAAAAATTACATTTCTCAACTTTCCTTGTAGGTAGATACAGCCGTAGAATCCTCTAATCAAGTTTTGGCCAATGGGATATAAGTAGCAAGGGTACATGCAGCTTCCAGGGTAGCATTTATCTTTGAGGTCTTGATCTTAACAATACATCAGAGTTTACTGGAGACTCTATTGTAATTGGAGAGACGGGAACACTGTAGGACAACCATCTTTGCTTCTACCTCACCTGAATGAGGTGAGGGTGGTTTTGGCACCTGTGAGGAAAAAAATAAGAGCACCAGCAACCAAAGCAGTATGCTTAAGGCAAGTCTTCTGGATCAAAAAGTTAATGTAGAAAAAGGATCTAAAAATGATACGGCATGAGGATTGGAGTAGAGGGAACCCTCACGTGGTGTTGGTGAGAACGCAAACTGGTGCAGCCACTGTGGAAAATAGCATGAAGGTTCCTCAAAATTTAAACTTAGAACTACCATGTGATCCAGCAATTCCACTTCTGGGTATTTATCCAAGGAAAACGAAAACATTAACTCAAAAAGATATCTTGAGCCCCATGTTCATCGCAGCATTATTTACAATAGCCAAGATACGGAAGCAACCTAAGTGTCCACTGATGGATGAATGGTTAAAGAAAATGTCATATAGACACAGATGTAGATACACACAATAGAATATCATTAGATCATAAACAAGAATGAAATCTTGTCATTTGCAACAACATGGATGGACCTTGAGGGCATGATGCTAAGTGAACTAACTCAGAGAAAGACAAATACCATATGATCTCACTTGTAGATAGAATCTAAAAACAAAAACAAAAAAACCAGGGGTGCCTGGCTGGCTTGGTCAGAAGAGCATGTGACTCGGGTGAGTTCAAGCCCCACGTTGGGTGTAGATAGTACTTAAAAATAAAATCTTTAAAATGAACAAACAAAAAACCCCACCAATTTCATAGATGCATACAACAGATTGGTGGTTGCCAGAGGTAGGGAACGGGTGTGTGTGTGTAAAATGGGTGAAGGGAGTCAAAGGGGGCAAACCCAGTTATAAAATGAATTAGTCCTGGGGATATAATGTACACATAATACTGAGTTATATATTTGGAAGTTGTTAAGAGAGTAACTCTTTGGGGCACCTGGGTGGCTCAGTCGGTTAAGCGTCTGCCTTCGGCTCAGGTCATGATCCCAGGGTCCTGGGATCGAGTCCCGCATCGGGCTCCTTGCTCTGTGGGGAGCCTGTTTCTCCCTCTGCCTGCTACTCCCTCTGCTTGTGCTCGCTCGCTCTTCTCTCTCTGACAAATATATAAATAAAAATCCTCAAAAAAAAAAAGTTATCTCTTAAAAGTTCCCATCACAAGAAAAAAATTGTAATTATGTGTGGTGATGGATGTTAATGAGACTTATTGTGGTGATCATTTCTCAATATATACAAATACTGAATCATGCTGTACACCTGAATCAAGTATATTAGTTATACCTCAATAAAACTAAGGTGTTTTTGGTTGTTGTTGTTTTTTTAATGATACAAGGAGCTCAAGTTGGAAAGACTGCCTTTAACATGCTCGTAATATATTTTTTAAAAGATTTTATTTATTTATTTATTTTTGCATGCACGTGCAAGAGAGAGTGAGTGAAAGAGAGCATGAGCAGGGGGGAGGAGCAGAGGGAGAAGCAGGCTCCCTGCTCGGAGCCAGATGCAGGGCTCAATCCCAGGACCCCGGGATCATGACCTAAGCGGAAGGCAGACATTCAACCGACTGAGCCACCCAGGCGCCCCAGTAATCTAACATTTTGAGTGCCTTGGCAAATATGTTGTGGTGAATCTTCTCAATGAAATTTGATTTAAGGGGTGCCTGGGTGGCTCAGTTGGTTAAGTGTCTGCCTTTGGCTCAGGTCATGATCCCAGGTCCTGGGATGGAGCCTAGCATTGGGCTCCTCGCTCAGTGGGAAGTCTGCTTGTCCCTCTCCCTCTGCCCCTCACCCCTGCTCATGTGTGTGTGCTCTCTTGCTCACTCTGCTCTCTCTCTCTCAAGTAAATAAATAAAATCTAAAAAAAGAAATTTGATCTAAATCACAACTTGGGGCATGAAATTCTCTCAGGGTAATAACACAGGCCTGGTATTCGCATCTCCATTCCCCACCCATGGTTTATGGTTGTGATCTTGCTGTAGTAGAAACTACAGAGATCTTGTCATATGTCAGTCCTTCCAAGCCTGATAGAGAGTTGAGAGGTATGATTAAAAGTCTGGATGAGAAGGGCTGGCATAGATGCCTGCCTAGGGCTCCCCATTCTGTTAGCCACTAGGCCTGTCCATGCTTCATCTCTTGATTCTGTCACCTTCTCTCTCCCCATGGCCACTTCCCTGTGTTCAGCGTTTATAATTTCTCTTCAGGGCTCCCTGACCCTGCCCTCAATCCTGTCCCCATGAATCCATTCTCTGCTCTGCAGCCACAGTGATTTCTCTAGAAAGTATATCAGATTCATGATATTCCTGTGCTTAGGATCCTAGCAGTATAACCCTAGCAAGTCTCCCCAGTCCTTTCATAGGAAGTAGAAAGCCTCCTTCAGGCTCTGTGTGATCTAGCACCATTTTTTCTCTTGCCTCATCACCATTCCTCTTCATTCACATGCTGGCTGTGCTCCAGCCACCCTGGATGACTTGAAGACTCGTGAAGCGGCCCGGGTGTCAAAGCCTCAGGGGCTCTTTCCTGGCCCCTTCTTCTAGGTCAACACTTCGCTGCCTTTGGAAGACTCAGCTTATGCATGAGGCTACCTCCTTGAGGCCTCTCAGATTAAGGCCTCCTCCTTCGTGTTCCTACTTGCCAGGCTGTTTTCTGAGGGTCGGTCTTGCCCACAGGACTGTAACGTGCTTGATGTAAATGTAGCACCCACAGCCAGTGCTCCCCCCCGCCTCATATCCTATTAGCACTTTTCATTTCCAGCCATTTCCAGATCTCCTCCAGAAAGCGGCTCCAGGAGCCTGAGGACAGGCCCTCTAAAAAACAGACAGGTACTGGTTATTGGCAACAAAAGCTCACTGAGGCCAGGGGGTGCTCAAAAACAGTACAGAGGTATCCAGGCGAAGCCAAGAGGCACCACCAACATTGGCAACAGTGATTTTTGGTAAAGAACAGGAGGTTTCCTTGACCTCCTCACCTCTTTGAGCATGATGGATGCTCCTCTTCCATGCTTCTCTCTGTTTTTGCTCTTGCTGTGAATTCTGTGGGGACAGCGACAGCGCAACTTTGTCCCCCCAGCAATCACACAAGGCCCTGTACATAGCCTGCCTGAGTCACCGTTGCCCAAGGGATGGAAGATCGAATGTTCTGTCCAACAAGGGCATAAACTGCAAGTGCAGGGGCCAAGGTGGAAACAGCTGTCTGGGAACAAGGCAGAGGTCAGGACAGGGACTAGGGCCTTAGCTGGTTCTGGAATGATTGTTTCATACCTGGGGCCAGTTTGGCAGCCTCATCATTATCCGTCAACTCATCCCCCTGAATGACTGGTGCCTCCTGAGGATGTGAAATACTGAAAGGTGCTTCTCAGCTTCCCCCAGGAGAGCCCAGATGATTCTGAACTTGGAAGAGAGTGAGATCAAAGAGCAGCTGGGCGTGTAAGCCAGAGGGAAGGGGACTTTCAGGTTAGGGGAGAAGTCTCCAGGACAGAGCTGATTTGACTCGAAAGTAGCCAGAGGAGAGATTCTAGTGGTGCATGCA